CTTCCTGCAGTCCCTCCACAGAGCAGACATTGCTCCCTGCTCCTGTCCCCTACTCCCGTCATCTCTGTGTCAGTCAACTGGACCCTTCCACCTTCTCCTCCATCTTCTCTCTTCCTCTCCAATGACTTCCCTGCCATACTAGCCTTTGTAGTCTTTGTGCTTGGTGGATAGTGGGGACCCAGCAAATGTCTCTTAATGAAAAGCAGGAACGGCACAGTTACCAGCAGCAGGAAAAATAGCTCGGTGAATGCAGCGTGCCCTTGAGGGAGAGATGGGTTTACCGCAAAGCGACTTCAAGTCTCCCTCCACCATCCCCACCATTATCGCCCAATTCTGCTCCAGTAATTATGTGCCTAAGATAGCTCCTCAAATTGTCTAAGCCTCAGACCCCACAGAGCCTGACCTGCTTTGCCCCCAGTTCTGACATGGTGCTGGTACACAGTAGACCCCAAGAACCACCAATCCAATGAGTTTAGTAACTGCCTACTATGTGCTGGGTATAAATTAGACTGCAGAGACCTGGGAAGAACCTCACTCTTGAGTGGCCCACAGCCCAATGGAAAAACGGCTACCTTTAAATAATACCACTTTAGTTGAGTAAGTTGCATGATAAGGGTGTGGGTGAGAGGCTGTGGGAGACAGAGGAGGGCAGGCTGGGAGAAATTGCATCTTCAGTCATGGGGTCCCATGACGCCTCTGCCACTAACCAGCTGCGGGTGCTTGATTGACGGAGGGAGCTACAAAAGCATCCTGTGTTGGGGAAGCTGTGACAAAGGACTGGGCAGTGACTAGGCAGACATGCAGGAAGGAAGAGAAATGCAGGTTGTGAGGTACCCCTTAAGCACGACACCCCCCGTCTGTGGTCCTCAGTGTATCCCTGTGTAATATGGCTGGGTCTCACTGTGTGGGGGAGGGGTCCTTCCTAGTTTAAAGATTCTGCACACCTGGAAGTAAGGTGGAGTACTCCCACAGGGTGAATGAAAAGGGAACCATTAAGGCCTTGGAAGGAAGAAGGTGGTGGTTCACCCTCTGAGCATCCCAACTGAAAGCTCTTTTCCTGCAGGAAGGGAAGAAGTGTCTGGCCGTGTACCAGCCAGAGGCGCCCATGAACTTCACCCTCTCCAGCTGCGTCAGCACGCGTTCCTACCGGCCCAAGTACTGTGGGGTCTGCAAGGACAACAGGTGCTGCATCCCCTACAAATCCAAGACCATTGCTGTCTCCTTCCAGTGTCCCGATGGGCCTGGCTTCTCCCGCCAGGTCCTATGGATCAATGCCTGCTTCTGCAGCCTGAGCTGTCGGAACCCCAATGATATCTTTGCTGACTTGGAATCCTACCCTGACTTCTCAGAAATTGCCAATTAGGCAAGCACAAAACACAGGCCCGGGCCTGGCCCAATGCCTGCCAAGCAGCCAGGCCTCTGAGGTCCACCTGTGAACCTTCTTTGGTGCACTTCCCACTCACTTCTAATTACCCTGACCCAGACCCTTGGTCCTCTTTCCTGCCTCTTTCCTGTCTCCAACCACCCAAATGACCCATTATGGTGCTTCTCAGACCCAGACTAGGGGTCCCCTCCTGAACAGGATTCTGCATCTACTCCAAGGAAACTGCCTGTGTCCAGCTGTTCCGGACAACACTGAAGTCTGATCCAGCCCGTGAAAGTCACTGGGAGTCCTGCTGGGTCCTGCCCGGGTCTTAAGGAACAGAATCAACTGGACATTCTGTATCATTAATTCCCTCTTTAGATGCCAAACCGCAAGACTCTTTGGATCCATTTAAAAGGCTAGGTGGGATTTTGGACAATGGAATGGTCTATTAGTTGGGTCCTGCTGAGTGGAACTCTAATAGGCAGTTCTGACCACAGCACGCCAAAGTATCTCTGATTCCAAAGAATTTTGCACCTCAAGGTCACCAAACATTTGCCAAGTGAGGTGAATGGTTGTTCGGTTTTGATTTTTCATGGAAAATAGTATCCATCAATCTGGGCATTATTGATGTTAAGTTTCTCTTCACCCCTGCACTGTGAAGGGTACAGACACACTGGGTTCATTCCAGTCAGAAATGCAATTTGATAAATGTTATTCTTGTTCACGAAAAAGTCCCCAGTCCGTACTCCAGGGACAGAGCAAAATCAGCAAATTTCCAGAAGGAGCAGTTCACCCTAGCTCCGAATCTGCTGCTGACCGACAGGACATCAGGGAATTGGCCAGGCTCTCCCTCAAATCTATATTTTCTTCCTGCCTGGGGGCTCATGGAAGTTGGTAGAGTTCCTGGGAAAGCTTCTCTGACTCCTGAGAGTGCTGTCCTGGGACATTCCTCTGCATTTAGGGGGCCCCAAAAGGATACCCAAGCCAGACCCACCTGAAATAACCAAGAGGTCCAGGCTGGGTGTGAGTCAAACCAAGAAGCGGGTCCGTCTGCATCAGCCTGGAGTGGCAAGGGTCATGGGCCCAGGACATGATGTCTTGTGCTGCCTCAGTGACCCATTTCACAGACTTTGGGTCTGCTGACCCAAACAACCCAGTTTTGGTGTGAAGACAGAGGTTTACCAGTTGTCTAGAAACAGAAATATATTTAAAAGGGATTAAAAGCCAAAGGGTGTTGATGCTAAAAGGAAGAGAAAGTTGTCACTAGTGGAAAAGAGGCTGGTATTTNAGCCTTGTGATTGGTTTCCCATGTCTGTGCCTCCCTGGGAACCATGACCATAGTGGCAGATATTTGTCAGTACCAGGCTTTGTGCCATGTGCTGGGGATAGGACAGGGAGCTAGCTGCCTGGGTGCCCGGCCCGGCCACATTATATCCTCTCATCTTGGCAGAGGGCATTACTAGGTGGGTGACAGCTGCGGCTGTAAATGAACTTCTTCTTGTCCTCTGCTCAAGTCCCACCAAACTCCCCATCTCTGGCTGGGCCCTGCCTCTCTGCCCTTGCAGTGCCCCTCCCCCATGGGGCGAGTCCTAGCATTTGGGCGCCGCGCTGGCGGGGTTCCCCATGGCCACCGGGTCTGACCCGGCTGCTATGTGTTTGCAGAGATGGTCGGCGTGGGCTGCGTCCTGGACGGGGTGCGCTACAACAACGGCCAGTCCTTCCAGCCCAACTGCAAGTACAACTGCACGTGCGTGGATGGCGCGGTGGGCTGCACGCCACTGTGCCTCCGCGTGCGCCCCCCGCGCCTCTGGTGCCGACACCCGCGGCGGGTGAGCTTGCCGGGCCGCTGCTGTGAGCAGTGGGTGTGTGACGATGATGCCAGGAGGCCACGCAAGACAGCGCCGCGCCACACGGGCGCCTTAGGTGGGTGCCAGGAGGGGGCGAGGGGGGGGCCCTAGGGGCAGGTTGCAGACCCTCCTGGCGCTCTGAGCACCTGCCCGTGGTTGCCACAGGCCCCTGAGCCCCTTTCCCAGCCCACCACTCATTAGCTGTGTGACCCTAGGAAAGTCACATCTCCCCAGGACCCTGTTTCCCCATGGGGGGAATGGAAATGCCGCCCTCGGTCCCGGCTGTCTTATGGGGTCCTCTGAGTGTAAAATGAGGAAATGCTTTGTAAAGAACCAAGTCAGGCAGGTGTGATTCATTATTATCCTACCTAAGAGATTAGGTGGCGGGTGGAGAGGTGGAGGAACGGAGGGTACCTGGGGAGGAGAGGCATCAGCAGCAGGTGTGTGGGCCCGAGAGAGAGGAGGTGGCTCTCTCTCACTATGGAGAATGGGGGACAGGTGAGGTGTCAGCCAGGTAAGCCAGGTCATAGAAAGCCCTGGCAAAGCAGGGCAGGGACAGGCCTGTTAGGTTCACCACAGTTTACTGGAACCTAGCCAATGGCAGACACTTAGCAGGTACCAGTCAATGTTTGTCATATGGATGGATGGATGGATGGATGGATGGATGGATGGATGGGCAAATTGATGGATAGATAGGTGGGCTAATGGGGTTGTGACCTAGGGCAGTGGGAGTCGAGGTGGCAAGAAAGAGACAGATATAAGAGGGATTCATTGCATGAGTCAAACTGAAGGTCTTGGCGTCCATCTAATGCTTGGAGAGGGAGCAGTGGCGGATGACTCCCGGGCTTGTCATCACCTAGAATAGAATACAAGGGAAGGAGTGAGTTTGGGGAGGAGGCGCACCCCCTTGTTTGAGACAGGTGGGGTTTGAGGCTGGGCACCCTGCATGTGGGATTGCCCAGAGGGTCATCCAGGAGAGGCAGCTTTGGAGGAGGGACGCGGGACAGAGAGAGGTCTGGACGTCTTCCAGCTGAGCTGCTGATGCTGGTGGGATGGTTTGGGGGGATATACAGAGTGAGACAGAGGATGTCTGGGGCAGAGGTCTGGGGGGCTGACATTGAGGGGTGAACAGAAGAAGAAGAGGCTGAGGGGGAGATGGAGAAGGAGAGTGGGGGAAGCAAGAGGAAAACCAGGTGCCTCTGATGACACAGGAGATAGCAGATAAGGATATTTCTAGGAGGAAAGAGTCTATCAGGTAAGCAGACATGAAGAAGTGAAGAAACGGCAGTAGTCTGGGTGTCTGAGGGTGTGGTCATTTTTCTTTAATGCTAAGTGCATGCGATTCCTCAGAAAGACTATGTGGGGGAGGGTTCCTCGCCCTTGAACTGACAACACGCCGACCAGATCATTCTTGGTGATGGGGGCTGCCCTGTGCGCTGCGGGATGTGGAGCAGCATCCGTGACCCTTACCCCCTAGATGCCAATAGCAGCTGCCCCACAAGTAGTAAATAAGAACCAAAAATACCTCCAGACATTGCTGACTGTGCCCTGGGGGGCACAATCTCCCCCTCTCCCCCTGAGAGCCACTGGTGTGGCGCCCAGACACCACCATTTAAGGTGAGGTGCAGAGAGACAAATCCAAGAGGCAAGGCAGAAACGGGACCAGAGGTTTTGCCAAAGCCAAGCGAAGCAAGTGCTTCTGAAAAGAGCAAACTGGAAAGCAGGGGAGGACAGGATGTAAAGGGACCAGCCTGGACAGAGACCCGCCTGCTGTGCACCCTCGGTCTCACTGGACCAGGAGGGAGGGTGGTTCCCGCAATGCTCCCACCCCCTCCTGGTTCCGGGATGCACAGCCTTTCTGGATGGAGCGTGGGTGCCCCACAAGGGCTGAGCCAGCCCCATGAAGAAGCATCCCTGTGGATGCAGGAGGTGGCAGGGGGAGCTCTGTCCCTAGCAGGCCCACAGCAGCAGTCTCACCACCAACCCCCTCAGCTGAGCCACAAGAGGGTCACGGGTGGGAGGCAGTGGCTGTCTGCTCATTGTGTGTGGCCCAGTGACCCCGTTCCCACTGAACATAAGCAGAGCTCCTGCCTGCCTAGCAGGTGACCCAGAAACCAAAGCCCTTTTATCCCCCTAGGCAAATCCCTCCCCGCCGCCTGCCTCCCTCCCTCCACGCTGGAAACCCAGCTCATCCCAGCCTGGCCTGGCCTCAGTCCTCAGAGGCCTCTCCTTTTTTCCTCCTGTCTCTCAAACCTCCCCGTCTCTCATTCATTCATCAGTGTTCCCTGCGCACCTATTAACCTGGAAGGGCTGGATATTGAGAGCTGACCCTTCCGCTTTCTCTGTCCTCTCCTGATCCCATTACATATCTTTTCTTTCCTATTTTTCTCTTTTCTCCTCTCTTCCCCTCCCCCATCTTTAATCACTTTTCTCTCCCCTCCCCATTCTCTCCGCTCTCCCTCTCCCTCCTCCCCTCTCCCTCTCCCTTTCTTCTCTGCCCTCTCATCTCTCTCTCTTCCCACCCCTCCCTCCCCTGCCTGTTCCTCTCGGGTCTCACTTCCCGCAGTGAGTGCATCCGTGTCCGAGTGGGACTGGCTTCCTCCTCGAGTCCGTCTCTTGTGTATGTTGCTCCGTTTTCCTGCGGGATCTCCTTTGTCTTCCTGGCTTTTCACCTGCCTCCATCTCTAGCTCGTTCCATTTTCTATTCTCAGGAAGTGACTGAACGCTCACCATGTGCTAGATGCTGGGGTAGATACATAGATAGAACCCGCTGAGAATTGGTGTTCAGTTGGCCAACAGTCAAGAAACCCCACGTTTACTGAGAGCTTACTCAGGGCCAGGGGCGGCTGGAGTGCTGAGGCATGTGTGAATCACAATTTAGACCCTTTTATTGTCACACCAGCCCCACAAGGCAGATGTCATTGTTCCAATAAGGAGACTGAGGCCCAGAGGGAGTGGCCTAGGGTGACACAACTTGTAGGTGGCCGAGCAGGATTTGAACTCAGGTCCACCTGTCTGTAGGGATAGTCTTCCCTCCAAAGAAGAATAAGGTTCTCAGAACAAGTCTTTCTCTCCCTGGGGACCCACACTGGTTAGAAGCCACCTCTCTCTTTGCTGAGTTTCAGGGACCCCAACCCTTGTGCTTGTGTGGTGATGGTGGAGATTAGGGGTGACAGAGGCTAGAGACTCAGGGGGACTCTGCTCTCCACCCACAGCGGCCATGGCCGAGGTTGAACCCTGGCACAGGAACTGCATATCCTACACGAGCCCGTGGAGCCCCTGTTCCACCAGCTGTGGCCTGGGGATCTCCACGCGGATCTCCAATGTCAACGCCCGCTGCTGGCCTGAGCAAGAGAGCCGCCTCTGCAATCTACGGCCCTGTGACGTGGACGTCCGTCTGCACATCAAGGTGGGTCCACATCCCAGGTGGGGGGGGCGTCTTAGACTTCACAGGCAAGCCTGGCTCCGAGCCTGGCTCCTAAACTCCCTTGTGGGGCCGTTTGTAAAATGCGAATAATGAAGCCCACCTCCTCACAGTTAATTGGATAATGTGTGTCACCAGTTTGGTATGTTGTGAATCTCACTTCATGGAAGTGATGGTGGTGACCATATTATTGGAATCAAACCCACTCTGGAGAGAGCCCAGGGCCTCTCAGAAATGCTCTCCTGTGATGATTCTGAGGGACTCTTGCTGACTGCCACTCTCCCCTAGCTCCTGGGGCAGGCCACACCTGTGTGCACCACGTGACAGCCATGCTGGGTGATAGGGGAACCCTGAACGGGGTCAGGGACAGCCGGGGCCAAATGTCTGTCTGCTGCTGACTGTATGCGGCTGTGGCCAATCTCCTCGCATCTCTGAGCCCCGGTGCCCACATCAGTAAAATATTGAAGTTGACCTAAGATCATTAAAATAAAGCACCAAGGGTACAGAAGACTGATCCCCAGTCCTCAGAGTTAGAAGTGGATCTGATTGTCTAACTCAAGGCCTTCTTTCCTATGCCTTAAGACTGGCCATATGCCAGGTGTCACTTAAAAGTAAA